TTTGTTCTTTCATTTCAAAAAAAAAAAAACAATCAAATGACGTGATGCAATGGTCATAACTCACAACATATCTAATTACTATTGAATTCAAGACACGAGTTTATAAAATCAAATAAGAGATAAGCACCACTCACCTAAGGTTACAAAACCAAACGACCAAAGTTTCTCGAACCAACAAACTCGAAATCTTAACAATTGAACACGAAACGAAAACTTGCCCATAGCAGAACATTCATTGCTGTCCGCTATACTGGGTTGCTTGCATGCCAAATTTGTTCACGTCATATTTCTCTCTATTGAACTCTGATTCAAGTGAGCTTACTATCAAAAGCTGACCCAAAAGATGCTCATGGGTGAGCGAAAACCATTGCTAAAAAAAGTAATTCGTAACTGGGTCTAACAGAGCCCGTGAAACTTAAAATATTCATTTTGATCGAATCATAACTCTAAATCGACTTCTTTAGAATCGCACAACTTCATAATACCCTAGACTATTATTACCACGTAATTTCATAGCTTAATAAGCTCTAGAATAAACCCAGCAAACTAAAACCTAAATAGATTTGAATTTACAGCTCAATTGCGAAATTTCCTCTGATTAAATAAATAAAGGGTTCAAATCCTTATTGGGAGCTACGAAATGAAGTTAATCCAACTTGCGGAGTTAGGTTCACTAATCAAAACATATAGCTTTTCACAACTCAAATCATCAAACTGTGTACGTTTCATGAACCAAGTTCATAAATCGGTAACATTTAATAATTCTTTTCATAAAACATTTTGCAAACCATTCATGGATAATCAGCTCAAGCTATATTTATAAGATACTTTGCCATTTTAGAAAGATAAAATGGTGGTAAATTCCCAATCCATCTTTATGCAATAAATATGCTTTATACATCACTTTTTATTCTTTCATAATTTGAAGAAGTGGATCTTTATCTTAGGGTGCGTTTGGTTCAGCATTCCTAAGGAGCTTCAAGGGAATGCAAATACCTTTAACTTAAAGCCCCTTGGGAAAATGCAAATTGCGTTTGGTAAAAAATCCTTTGTGAAACTACTTTGACCTAAGTAGTGTTTGGCAAATCTTATTTTGCAAAAGGCTTTGGGATTTTTTTTTATTAAAAAAAAATCACCCTTCACCGGAGCCGGCGAGGGGCTACGATCGTTGGCGGCCCGTTGCCGAACCTCAGGCGACCGTCGCCGGAACTTCGCCATCCCGATCTTGCCTCGGGCGGCTCTAGTCGGTTGCCCTCGCCGGTCGCCGTCAGCCCAAAGAAGATGAACAATCATGAGGGGCAAAATTGAAATATTAAAGAATTAGTGAGGGTAGTTTGAGAAGAAAAAAATTGATTTCAGCATTAGGCAAATGTTGAAAGCTCAAAATTGGTAGAATTAGTGAGGGTGATTTGGGAAGAAAAAAAATTGATTTCAACATTAGGCAAATGCTAAAGCTCAAAGCTGGTATGGACTAACCTTGGGCTTTGAGCATTCTCAATGTTGGCTTTCGGCCGAAAGTTCATTGGAAATGCTTGCCAAATGCCTCAGCATTTCCCTAAGGCTCGAAAGCCCTTTGGGAACGTGGAACCAAACGCACCCTTAGTGTTACGATTGGAAGGGCAAAGTCATTATTTTAATATAGTGATATTGTGAAAAAATGTCTTGGATGTATGAAAGTTAATTATTCTCTGGTGTTAGAAATGTTAATTTTGAAATAATGTTTTCAATGATCTCTACTCGATGTGTTAGTAAGAATATGAAAATTGTACCCAAATCTACAAGTGGAGATGTGATATTTTTAGGCTATGTATGTAATTGAAACAAGACCAATGTCGAAAGAATAATCGGTGGCTGGTGAAACTTCAAGTTGTGATGACTATACAAGATGCTATATATTTTAATCTGATAAACATCTTTTGAATTAGATAAAAAGTGGCGACAAGTGATAACCATCAATAATCATTCTTCAAACTAATCCGCGGGAAGTATTCTCTTGAATCCCTTTACATTTTAGGACACCTCCAAAGGAATTGAGAATTTCATGCTATGGGCTTCATGCAATGTCTCCTTTTTCAAATATGAAAACTTATGAACACATTAGGAGTAAACCTGTCCCATTTGTTAACCCATATTTGATGGGTTTAGTCATTATATGGATTAGCTATGTTAAGTAAATGGATTATAAATGAATTTAAAATGGCAAAACCCAAAAATATATGGATGTTTTTTTTCCCCATTATTTTTATATTTTTATATTAATCTTCTCGATTTCATCCATCAGTTTTTGAAACATATCTTTTCTTGGTTGCATTTGGTATTGTTTATTTTATGTAATATTTCAATTTTAGACATTGTCATTGCAATCCATGGTTGGCATAAATCATCCTCTTCAATATCTTACATTCCATTTAATTAAAATTTCAATTCATCCACATTATTGGTTGCTATAATTTTATAAATTCACTACCAAGCACTAACTTTCTCTTTTTGTTCATTGTGAATCAATACAAAAATTTAAATCTCAATGCAATGTTGAAAGCCAATTCTTTAGCATCTTATAGTTGAAATAACGATTTTATCCAAATAACATATACAATGACGAGTTTAAATGGGTTAACTATCGACCAAAAAAAGTGGGTTAACTAGGTGGATACGGATTTTCATTGGTTGAATTAAATATAAAAATATTTTAGAAAATGGAACGAGTGAGTTGGATATGGATTTGGTATGAGTCGCTAAATTTGTATTACATATAAATGGGTTAATTTGGGTCAGATTATTCTCAATTCAACCCAAGCCCGACCCGACCTACTCATTTGATAGCCCTAATTAGCATACTACGAAACCTCAAGGACCCATCCACGTGGATACTGAAATATACTTATCCCTCAGCTTCTACTTCTTCTTTGATTTTCCTCAACCGAGAATCTTCATCCTATTTAGACTTGATTCGATTTGATTGTAATTGGAGATTAGCTAATCTCCGGATTAGCTAATCGAGCTCCAAGCTGACGAACCAATGCCTTCGGGTCCAACTTTCTCATACCCTCAAGAATAGATGTTTGAGTAGTGAGTTAAGTTGTCATGTTTCCAAAAGATTTATGACTCAAGGCATCTACTACTATGTTTTTCCTTGCCTAGATGATAATTAATAAACAAATCATAATCTTTCAAAAGCTTTATCCATCTCCTCTGCCTCATGTTCAGTTTTTTTCCGAGTAAAAGTGAACTTCAGGCTTTTTTGATCATTAAAGACTTCGCATGAACCTTCTATATTTGTTCATTCTTAAGGAAACAATGAGTACTGTTAGATCAAGCGAGTGGAATCCAACCGGCAGCCTGCTGTGCAGGTTTTCGACTAAGATTGTTAACGAAATGATAACTTTGCAATCAAAGTTCCTGGAAACTAATTCTATGGAAATTATATTGTGTTGATAAATTACTGAATGATAAGGAAACTTACACTAACTATCAACTAATATGAGCGTCTAGAGCTTCCCTCTTGCTCTGATCCCCTTGCGCCTAGGACGCTGTTTGGGCCAGAAAAGTTTATTGACTGTTTGTCGAAATTATCACTAGTAACTGAAAAGAGAAACTCATGTGGAAATATTGCTTTTCAGATTCAGATGCACTTAAGATATTCGTAGGTTACTAACTAAATTCGAAAAGATGTACGTTACTTTTAAGTCATGAAATTACCAAAAAGTCTAGAAAAGTTGCAAAATGTTACAGGAGGGACCTACTTTCATAACAGTGAAAGTAAAATTCTCTTACACGTCGAAGTAGCTTTCAATATGTTCAGTTACTTTTAATATAGGAAAGCAATGAATCATATGCTTTTGGTAACTTTTGTTGAGAAAATATTAAGTGCAACCGCCGTTTTACGTCAATTCAGAGCAAGACACGTTACTTCAGGTCCATCTATTAGAAATTTTAAGATTTCGTCTATCTTTTCTATATCTCTTTAGCACTTGTGTCTCTTCTTTCCTCTTGCGTCATCGAGCTCGAGCCCAAGGCTCCTGGCCGCTTTGGCCATGGAGCTCGACCTAAAACCCGGAGCTTGGGGTAGCCTTGGCTGCTTGAGTTTCTCTCTCTCTCTCTTTAGCACTTGCTATTCTTCTTTCCTCTTGCATGTGCCATGGCTCGAGCTCGAGCCCATGGCTCTTGGCCGCTTTGGCCATGGAGCTCAACCTCAAACCCGGAGCTTAGGGTAACCTTGGCCGCTTGAGTTTCGAGCTCGGTCTCAAGCTCGTGGCAATGGCCACTTGAACTTCGTGCTTCTGGACATGGTGGCCCGAGCTTTGAACTCCTGTCCATGGCCGCTAGATGGAGACCTCGAGCTTACAGTCGTGGCCACCTAGCTTTGACATCTTGTCGCCATGGTGTCGCTTAACCTCAAGCTCGTGGAAGCCAAGGCCGCCAAAGCAACGGAGAAGATGAGGAAAAAGTGAGTGGGGGTAAGTAATGAGAGAGGAAATTTTAAAATTTCCAACAGGCGAACTTGAAGTGACACGCGTCGTGCTCTAAATGGGCAATTGTAAATATGACGTGGCACGACAATTACACCTAACATTTTCTCACTTTTTGTTTACTGGTAATATTAATATGCGTTCAATTATTACATTTCAAATCAAAGTAATGTTGTCGATAGGTAAATAAATGAATAAAATAAATGTTTGCTGTTCATCTACAACATTGAATATAGCGGACCAAATTCTCGGGCTTTAACGGTGCAATTGGGCCGAAAGTAATGGCATCGTTCGAAGGAGGAAACACAATAACCAACTATCGCAGCCATACCAGTTAAAATTTGATGGGCCATAATTGTTTATATGAATTAATTTTATTCGGTAAATAGATCATAAATAAATTTAAAATAATAAAATCTAAAATAATATGAGTATTTTTCGCTCTTCCTCCCACGGTCTCACCTTGTTTATTATGGGCTCTTCAGTTTAGATACGAGTGTTTTTAAAATTGGGTTAAATATGAAAGGCAATATAAGGAATGTTCTGAAATGTGGATCAAAATTGGTTGAACGACTTGACTTCGGGTCTTGCTAAAATTACGGTCGGACAACAAAATATGTCGGAACCACCGCGAGCATGACAGCTCGCGCTGCCGCCAGCAACGCTCTTCCTCTCCAGAGTCTCCACAGTGCAGAGCCGGCCTCCAGAGCCGCCGCCATGGCGAGGAAGCGAAGCCTCCGCGCCACCCTCTTCTTCGCTCTCCTCTCCCTCGCCGCCGTCGGAGCCTTCATCCCCGCCTTCGCCCCTCTCCCTTCCCTCTCCTCGCCCCGCCGCCCTCCCCTCCCCAACAAGGTACGATTCTCCGCCGCTTCCAGAAATCGCGCAGCTTGCTTTTCCCTACCTTCCGAACGCGATCGCGGCTCGGTCGTCGGGTGCGATCCGGTCGAAGCTTGCCGCCAATGGATTCGATCGGTGCGAGCCGCCGTCGACGGATTTTGATCGGTCTGAGCTGACTTGAATTGTAGACGTTGTTGGCGTCGCGTGTTCAACGTTGGGCGTTGGATCGACCGTTCTGGAATGATTTAAGTGTCGGTTCTGCTGGCTTTGTTTGTGTAATTGAAGGCAATACTGACTTTAAATGCTGCTGATCACTATGTCGGCTGTAGTGATTTACTTGTCATCGGACCGTAATATAGCTGTTCATTCGATTTCGTAAATGCTAGCATGCATTGTTGGTTTGAGCTCCTTTCGAGTGTTAGCTTCGTTCAAGAGGACTTTCACTTATCGGAGCTGCCGTAAGCTGTGAGTTCCTCCTTCTGTGTGTCCACTTTCTAGATTATATTCGCCGATTGAAAAAAGCGATTTTTCGATGTGATTGTGGTTTAATTTTTGGGTTTTATTCTGCTCCTTCGTAGTGTGCATCTCGATTTTGTCGAGACTAGTTACCTTCGATCGTAAATCTCTATAGCTGCGCTGTTGAAGTTCAGTCGTGTTACTTCTGCACCCGAGCCTGATTGCAATTTGCTTTAATCAGTCCGATGGTGGGAAATTCGAGATCGCCGGTGACAAGTTCTGGAAAGATGGCTATCCCTTTCAGATAATTGGTGGTGATGTTCACTATTTCCGGGTGCTTCCGGAGGTATTTTTTCTTCTTTCTGCTAGTTGTTCTTCTTACTCATGTGATTACATTGCAATGGTCTTTCGCGACAACTGTTATATATGCTTTTTCCCAAATGCTACTAACAAGCAGTGCTTCTTTCTATGTGGAGATGCACTTTTTTAAGAAGAGCAACAGTGTTATATTGGTCATATCTGAAGCAGTATTACTGGATGTGGTAATGCATCTAATTTAGGCTAGAAGGTGAAGTTTGAACTCGAGATTATTTTAGAAGTTGACTTTCTGCTTCATCTGGAGGCAATAGAATCTAGAGATCCATGACCTGACAAGTTCAGGGAGCCCCTCACAGAAGGACTTCATACTTATTTAATTTATAACATTCAGCATCTTCTTTTGATGCTGACTAGAAGGATTCTTTGCTTGAAGCAACATTGCCCATTTTCGTCTAATAAAATTGATTACACTTGGGCATTTATGGTGCATGCAGTATTGGGAAGACAGATTGTTGAGAGCAAAAGCCCTGGGTTTGAACACCATCCAGACATATGTTCCTTGGAATCTGCATGAACCTAAACCAGGCGAGACAGTCTTTGAGGGAATTGCAGATATAATATCTTTTCTCAACTTGTGCAAGAAGCTTGATCTCCTGGTTATGCTTCGAGTGGGCCCTTATATATGTGCAGGTAAGGGCCAGACACTTCTTATAGGTGCTTTAAAACTTGTTAATCCACATTGAAGTGTTTGCTGCCCTTATCTTGACTTTGGAGTGGACATTGGATTGACATGGCCTTATTAAGCCTTGACATGCTTTCAGCATATTTAACCCATAAGTGTCATTTTATTTTGGACCTTGGTGATTGGTGTCTCTTCCATTACAAGAGTAATCGTCAGTCACACCTATTTGATTTCCTGCACAATTAGGTGGTGGTAGCATTTTGGCAAAAAAAATCGTGGAAGTAGGACACTTTGTCTTAGTCTTATTTCCTCTTCTTCTTTCGGTGGAGCTGTGAAGAGTTTGAATGGCTAACCTTAGACATTTTATTTGGACATGATAGGATTTTGTCTGTTCTAAGTCTAGTGAGATGTAAAATGTGACATCTCTAATTCGTGGTGAACGTGAAGACCTTCATTGTTCATTTGATTTTCAAAATACATCGTTTGGGACTGTCATGACTGGAGAATTCTCAGTTGTTTCCTTTTACCGATGAGATGATGCCTCCACGTAGGACTGACTTGCATCTGTTTCTATTTTGTTGCAGCCAAATAATATGTGGTGCATATTTCCTCGAATAATTTATCTACTGAATCTGTTCCCCTATTTAGGACTCTTAAGGATTAAACATCATTTGCATTGAGTCTGTGAGTGCACTACCCATTGTATAAATAACATCAGCCTCATTTCCATGTCGTGTTTGTTTTATCCTCTTCACTTCTATTTTTCTTTTCTCTTTGATAGGACATTTATGCAGATAGCAGATCTAGTTATTCTTTTGGGTCCGTGCTATTCCTTTATTTCTATGTTGTCTCCAGTCATTGAATAGTTTGTCTCTCATGTCTTTCCACTTAATTAGAGCAATACTCTTAGTTGCTGTTCTCATACTCTCAAAGAAGTAATACTTGACTTTTAGGACTTAATCAAGCATGCCTCGTTGGCTAACAGGTAATTTTGTGCAATTTCACTTTTTAAGTGTTGGAAATGCTTTAAGACCATGACTTCATTCATCCTGTTAGCTTGACACAATTTAGGTAGCACTTGTGCTTTAATCTCCTATTCTTTGTGGAGAGTCAATTCTAGGGAGCATAGTTGGCTCAACAGAGCAAAGTTGGTTTCTGACACATTCATTTAATTTTTATGTGCATGTAGTTAGAAAATAGTGATTACCAATAAGGACATACTCTGGACTCCAAATGCTCTTGTTTTGACTTCCTTACCAAAGCATCTTTGCATGATAAATTTGTAATGGAGATTGCTAAATCCTGTCCTTTGTATTTTAATATATGGCTCATCTTCAGATATGTTGTCAAGTTTAAAGTTTCTTTTTATGCAAGAACAAACAACTATTATTCTCTTTTTATGGGAAATAGGATATGATTACATTCATTCAAAAAAATACATTTTGGACTTCCCATTGGAGCGGAGAAATTCAATTCTTAGAAATAAATATGATTTCTTGATACTGCTTGCTGTTCATGTTCTATATCTTTGCAATAGGGACGCTAGTGTTTCCTTAGGCGCATTAATTAGCAATATCTGCGATATGGTGACATTCCAATTTTCCTTGTTTCCCCATTTATTTGGTGAAATAATCCTGATGGGTACATATTGATGCAGAGTGGGATTTTGGGGGCTTCCCTTACTGGCTACTTGCCATAAAACCAGCACTTACGTTAAGATCATCTGATCCTGCATTTGTCAAGTTGGTATGTGTCCCTACTCTATTCGTCGATAATCAAGAATTGTGGTGCTTCATGATACTGGAACATTGTGGGATTGAATAATAGTTCTAGAAAAGCTCTTTGATGTGTTTTGGATTCCTAAAGAGATTATGGTCATTTTCAGGCTCCATTTGGCCGATAGATATATCTCTGCATTCAACTTTCCTGTTTTGTCATGTTCAGAGATGTAAGAAAGGTGGCTAGCTTAACTTCCACTTTTGTAGATATAAGAAAGGTGGATTGCTTTGCTTACCTCTCAATGTATGTTAATGCTCTCATATTTTTTTTCTCTTTAGAAATTTTTTGTCCCCGTATTTTGATGTTATCTATCAGTGCTTTTAACCATCTTAGTCCAGAGAAGTCCTGAATTTTTCTCATCTATACAAGTGCTCGCTTTAAATACGGAAAATTTGTCTTACCCTTTGCAGACTGTTAGTGGTCAGCCTATGTAAATAAAGGCTCTCTCAAAAGGAGCTATTAATCTGTGCTGATGATTCATGTTTTGGGATGTTCCCATTGGTTTCTTTGGATGGAACATCATTTAGTATTTTTTTTAGTTATACTAAAAAATTCAGAGTTTGGGAGTAATTCTCAAACTGTAGTGAAATGGATTAGAGAGGCGTCAAAAAGCAAGTTGGCTGGACCCTCTTGCACACTGCATGAATTTGGAAGCATTTGTAGCCACAAAATATAAGGACCAAGACCAAGTCCAAGCCTCCCAGGTCATAAATCACTACTATTATACGTATGGGATGGTGCTGCATGCAATAAGAATGTCAATTGAAGAATAGTAATCAGATGGAAGCCTCATAAAAATCAAGTAAAACTTCAGCTGATGCTGCATCACTTTCAGACTGGAATATTTGTTGGAATTTGATTGCATTTCATGTCTATGAGGCGAAACTTTGTACCTGTGCTGGAATAGGCCGAAACGGGTAATAAGTGCTGCCTAGCAACCTATAAGTGGATTACTTTAGCCATGACAATGATTCTCCAACAATGGTCATTTTGGATGAGCTGAGAGGAGAGCTGCTGACCCAGGGGTTGGCTGAGCGGTTCATTGATTGGTTTGGATGTGATAGATTTCGTTTCGTTTTCAAATCACAATGTTTCCACTTGGAGAAACTTAGGGGTCACGCTGCCGCCCTTTGAATGGTCTTATCTTAATGAACGTGGATATGGCGGTTTGCGTGCATCCATAAGGGTTAGTCGCGTTGAGAGATTTGGACATCCTGTGTTATTTAGAAGAAAAAAAGCAAAGAGTGGAGAGCTACTGAATGACGTAATCGACAGATATAATAACGTGGTTACCCATTAGAATGTAGACTTGGCGGCGGTACGTGTGGGTCTCTCCTGGAAAAGAATCATTTCATTCAGTAGTATTGGAGGGAGTTAGAACAGGGTGGGCATGTGGAATTTAATGAATTGAAGTTCTAATAGTTTCCTGGGTCCTACTTGCAGTGAAGAAATAACTTAGAAATTAGAAGGTGATATTCATTATTTGTTTGGTTGGCCATATAAACTCTGGAACGGTAAAGATTTTTTGGTGTAAGCATATTGTCATTGGTTTTCTTGAATGTTGTACCATATCTCAGTCAAAATACCCTGCAAACCACATGTTTAACAGCATACCGATGCTCAAGTGATTGTTGGCAAATTTTGAACTCTCACAGGTTGAAAGGTGGTGGAGCATTCTACTTCCAAAGGTTTCTTCTCTTCTTTATGCAAATGGTGGCCCTATAATAATGGTTCAGGTATAACATCAAATATTGTTCTTGTTTATTTCTGCAAACTACTATGTTATGTTTCTTCTTAGGAAATAGGAGATTTTCAATATTGGAGAGACTAGCATTGCTTCTTTGCTTAGAATTTGGGGCATTTGCTTAATCTGAAAAGAAGTAGAAGGGGTTTTATTCTTTACTTTTAACTGAGGAGAATTTTTTTCTTTTTGTTTAAACAGTTACTCATATTACTGTCTTAAGGTCACATTGTCCTTCCGCCATCAGTAGATTCATTAAGATCTCTAAACTCACTTCTTTTTTTCCTTGCATATGCCTGTCTACATGACTGTAAGTGCACATGCAAAGGCCTGCAGCAGTTCTGATGCATTTCAAAATTTCTTTGAACTTGAAAGGCTGTACTATAAGTTTTCACTGTTCAGTTTATTTGAATAAGAATATTGTGCTGGATCTTGCAAGCAAGATATTTCCCCAATTTTCCATTTTACTTTTGATACTTTGGAGCATTACGTGGTTCATGAGAGAAATTTGTGTCGCATTTGTTGTCAAGAATATCTGGTCTGAAGAGTAATCACTCCTGTTCTTTTAGGTGGGGTATTGACTTGGTAGTAAATGATTGTTTTGACAGATTGAAAATGAATATGGCTCATATGGAGAGGATAAAGCTTATCTTCATCACCTTGTGAAATTGGCTCGAGGATACCTAGGCGATGAAGTAATCCTGTAAGAAGTTCTATATTTGGAATATACAATTTCACCTTAAGAATTAGATGTATGCACGACCTCATTATTTTGGCAAAGTGATAGGAATTGCGGATGTATCTGTTAAGGAGTCTAGTTTTTCTTATATCGCCTAATACTCGTGTCTTACGTTCATGGAACAGGGAGTACTTAAGAATGATACTAGGTGTGACATAGTTTTATTCTCCGATCTTCTGGAGTTCATATTCTCATGCTGCAGGTACACTACAGACGGAGGTTCTAAGGAGGCTCTTCAGAAAGGTACAGTTGGAGGAGAAGATGTTTTCTCAGGTAACTCATTGTTCATGTGTGTTTTGTGGATTTAGAGAGGCATTGGACTTGTCAGTTTTGTAAAGTTTCCTCATGTTCATTGCCTCTAGGATATGTTTATCAATAGCTGTTCCTATCGATGCTCCCTAGCATTTAAGCTACTATTCAGCTTCCATTCCACATATCTTTTCGAGCAACCTTTTAAATCTTAAGTACCATACAATCTTCTCACCTCAATTTTCTGATATTAGCTGTGGATTTTGAAACTGGTGCCGAGCCTTGGCCTATATTCGAATTGCAGAAGCAGTTCAATGCCCCAGGAAAATCACCTCCACTTGCTGCGTGGGTCTCTAATCATATCTAAGTACAATTAATTTTCATTTAGGCTAAGCAATAGTTCTGGATCACAAATTCAGCAGTTAAAATTTGTTGTTTCAGGGAGTTTTACACTGGTTGGCTCACACACTGGGGTGAGAATATTGCTCAGACAGATGCTGAATTTACTGCGGCTGCACTGAAAAAGATTTTATCGAGAAATGGGTCTGCTGTGCTCTATGTATGCCAATATTCTTTTTTGTCTTCCTTCATTTTTGAAGATCGCAAATGACTTGCTTCATTTTATCTCTTTGAGCTTCTAGATGGCACATGGTGGAACAAATTTTGGGTTCTACAATGGAGCAAATACTGGCGGGAGCGAGTCCGAGTATAAGCCCGACCTTACTTCTTATGACTATGTGAGGAACAATTGATCTTTTTCTTTTTTTTTTTCATCGCCTTTGGTTCCTGTTGTAAGCGTAAAAGTGATTTTCTTCTTCCAGGATGCACCTATTAAAGAATCTGGTGATGTGGACAATCCAAAATATAAAGGTAACACACTTAGGGCTATCTCTCTTGAAGCTTTTCCTTATCATATTACCCTAGGAACTGCTTCCTGTATATGAGTCAATGTTTTTCCATGCTCCAAAAATGACTGTAGAAGTTTTGAATTTTGAGATGCTGCTCATGTGGTTTTATCCTGCTAATTTGAAGTCATGATGCTAAAAAGCAGCAGTCGTCGTGGGAATTTGCAATACTAATGTTCATAATTTTTTAAAATAATAATGACGATAAATTTTGGCTGGAAAGCAAAAGAAAAGGTACTTTTTGCTTCTAAAATGTTTAAAAAAAGTGTGGTTCTGTACTTGTGATTGTAAAACATCATGTGCAAAATTTCATTCTGGATTTTGTTTCAGCTATTAGGAAGGTTGTTGAGCAGTATTCTACAGCGCCTCTTCCTTCAGTACCTTACAACAATGCAAAGACAGGGTATGGAAGGATTCAGCTACAAAGAACCTCTTTTCTTTTTGATTTACTAAATGTTCTACGTCCTCATGATGTTGTCGAATCTGAAAACCCCTTGTCAATGGAGTTAGTTGGCCAGGTTCGTATACATTGCATATACTTGGAGGTTATTTGAGTAGTTGACATACAAAAGTTTGCTTAATAATAATGAAAGTAGCTAATATGCCTTTTCTGTGCAGATGTTTGGATTCTTATTATATGCATCTGAATTTCCTGCGACGGACAATGGGAGTATGCTTACCATACCCAAGGTAACCTTTCACATTATACGTTTGAAAGCATGGGGGAAACTATTTCATTGGATCAAATGCATTATTAGACACTGTAGAAAATCTATCTTTTTGGGCTATGGGCTTCTGTAAATGTGATTGGCCCTTCTCTTCATCTTATGTTTATATCTAATGGTTTACTGATAGAAGAGAAGATGTTTGATAGATGTCCGTTGACAATATCTGATCTTCTCTCACTACCCCGGCTTCAATATGCAATATTGCAATGTCGCCCCGTTCCAATTTTGTATGCTTCCCTTAATCATGGGGTTTAAGAATCTAAATAAATATTGTGCCGAGTGAAATAGATTCTTTGAGATAAAACAAGATACGTGAGTTCTGAAAATTGCAGGTGCATGATAGAGGTCAGGTGTTTGTGTCATGCGCTTCGCGAGAGGACAGACCATTATATGCTGGTGCTATTGAAAGATGGTCAAATAAACCACTTCGTCTTCCAGTTACCAAATGTGCATCAAGAACCTCCTTATATGTCTTGGTATGTGATCCTAGCTCTTCTCTTTGGTGTGCCATAATTGCTGTGATAGCTCATCAAATTCCTCAAGCAAATACAATCTATTTTTGTTGAATAATGCTCTGTCTTCTGTGAGGCAAGATTTTTGCAGCGGCTGTAAGTTATCCGCTTTGCATTTCAAAGTCATCGTTAAGCTTTGAGTGCAAAAATCTTTTGCAGTAGTTGGCAGCGTACTTGAAATTTTACATGTCACTGCACTGGTTTCTGGTTAGTCCAAGTCCATTGTGGTTTATTCTCTCATTACTTTGTTTGAATTGACTGTAGAGATAGAATTAATCTGAGGTTAAATGCTTGAAATGCATTTAAAAATGTACACAAAATTTACCATAGCTTGACCCTTTAAGAAAAAGGTCATCCAACATTCTATACACATGGAAATATGCTTGTTTTAGGCAGATTACCTCATACATGTATTCAAAACAACGTCAGTTAGTGGTTCAGAGATGCCATTTTAGCTGCACGTAACATTTGTTTTTTATTGTACTTGCTTCACTTTGAAGTTTCAACCTCATCCATGCACTTAACATCTGCTGGGCATCCCCTTGTTCAGAAGTGGTAGTTGAGATTGGTGGTTTCAATGAACATGGTAACCTAACTTATTGAAACAAGAACATGGTGACATGAAGTTCTCAAGTATTTCTTTTGTTTCACTTTCAATGAGTTCTGCCATAATAGGTGCAATGGATTGGAAATATTCTTGTTCCCCTCCATTCCAAACTAATGCGGTTGTTCTTCTTATAGGTTGAGAACATGGGTCGAGTAAATTATGGATCCTACACGTTTGACATGAAGGTAAATATATTTATGATAATTGAGATGATGTTTGTTATGTTTCCCGTTTTTTGGCATAGTTGAACATGATTTGAAACAAAGTCGGTGTATTTTAATGCCCAAGTGTAAATCTAGAATTAGTCAAGATATAAATATTTACCTTGAGGATACTTGAAACTTCAAAGTGATAAAATTGTTGCTGAAGTTGTTAATTCAATCTTTGCAATTATCCCATACATTATATATGAAACTTTGGAGAGCTATAATACTCAAATTGAATATCCGACTTGGTAATAGGAGGAACATTGTTCAATGTGCTGAAACACTCTTGTAGATTCTCAGTCAGTTTGCTAATGCTAACTATTGCTTAACGTTTTGAGATAGGAACAACCTTCTTTGCAGGCTTTGCAATTTCAGCAAACTTCCTCCATTTCCTTAAATCATGCATTTTTCTCTCCCTTCTATAAAGGTCATCTGTGGAGTGTGCCAACAATTGCAATAATTGTTCGAGATGCTTTAATAAATATTTTCTCAAAATCTACACTTTTGCGGAACCTCATCAAACTCGGACAGCCCCTCGATTTTACCTTCCTGATCTCTTTTCTGGTGTCTGGTTGTAAGATTCTTAACAAGGATGATAATTATGTTCTAACATTTGCCATAAGGCTGGCGTGATTATCTCCTGAGATCCTCATCAAAGCTTCCTCGTGACAGCTAACTGCACGCTTTGCTTTTGATGAAAAGTACTTGATTTCATTAGAATGTGTTACTTCATTCACACATGGAAGACTTGTCCTTTCCTCTATGCTTTTATGAAAGGTTCATCTCTCTCTGTCCATCTTTACCTTGACAGGGTATTCTCTCTTCTGTTTACCTAAATGGAAGAGTTCTGCTTGGGTGGAAAATGTTCTCGATTCCTTTGCACAACCTGAATGAGGCACCAAAAATCAATCCTATTGTTCAGGTTGGACATTCGGGAGTCATGAGAGTTCTCTCCAACAAAAGTATCAATAAATCTGGTATCTTCTCGTAAAATCTTCAAAGCAATGTCATGCCTGTTCTATCAATTTCATGGTTATTTTGCACCTGTTTTTTGTGGTTTTAACTTTTAAGACCATGTTTCCCTACATTGTACATCATTCTACTGATCTAATATAAACGAACTTCTTCGGTTCTGTTTCTTTTCTGCAGATGGCGCAACAAGAGAACCTGCTTTTTATGCTGGCAGTTTCCATGTTGATAAAGTTGCCCAAATTAAAGACACATTCATTTCTTTCCGAGGATGGGGTAAAGGAGTTGCATATGTTAACGACTTCAATATAGGGAGATTTTGGCCGGTAAAGAGATCTTTTATTTTTGTTCTCAGTTCGATTGAACCTCGCCAAACATGTTCATCCCTCTCTCCTATAGTACTGATATTTGCATGGATTCTTCCTGCAGTCTTTTGGTCCGCAATGTAACCTTTATGTTCCTGCACCTGTCCTTCGAGTTGGGGTAAATTCACTGGTATGACGTCCTTCTCAATTATGGCACCTTGGGTAGTACAAAGTCATTACTGCTGAAACACACATGACAAGATACTTCTCTTATGGAAAACCCTATCAACTGAACTTCCATAGATCCTTTTTGTGTTCCTTTTTTAATCACTCCACTTGAAGCTTTGATGAAGATTTTGAAAAGTGAACATGCATTAAATTTGAAAGAGATGAAGAAAATTGTCCGCTTTAGGCCTATGATCCATACAAGCTTGGAGTTCACAAAAGTCAAATCTTTTCTGTTGAATGCTATTATTATTGTTAGCAGTTAATGCTCTCTCTCTCTCTCTCTCTCTCTCTCTCTCCCCCTCTCTCTCTCTCATGTGAAGAACTATTTTGCTACCTCTGGGCAGGTTGTTCTCGAGTTAGAATCCCCAAAGCCTGATCTTGTCTTGCACTCGGTTGATGAGCCGGATTTCTCTTGTGGTAAATCCAAATCGAGTGTGCATAAGCTTTGATCTGTCACTGCATTGGCTGCAGTTGACCTTTCTCGAGACATGGGAATATCAGAAGCTTAGAGCTTCATAGTCAAATTTATCACAATGTGCCAAAATTGGTAAAATGCTCCTATTGTCAACCATTACCAATTCACCACTGAAGTCTGTTCACCGCATAAACCCTGCAAGTGATTTTTATGATGGAGAGGACTTGGATTGGACTTGGATCAGAGAGGAAGCACTTTCCAAAGGCAGGAGAAGTAGCTGCAGCTAATTGACTTGTAACTTAGACGGAAATCAGAGAAGTTCGATTGCTCTAACAGGTTGCATCTGCAAGGTTCGCATCAACTGCTCTATCTGCTTCTTAATGTAATTCGTCAACACATTCAACAGTTTCCTTAAGCAGAATCAGAGGTTGGAGACTTTGCCATCCCAGTTACTCAGAACTCGATATTCGCTTAAACAAAGAGCAATTGCTTGCTTTTATGGGCTGTAAACCATCTGAATGTATAGTGCCCAACTTTTATTACAGTCTTGAGGTTGGGGAATCACCTAATAAAATGTACTCAAGTTTGCTTTTGGCTCAATTCATGCAGACCATTTGCTCTTCTTTTAGGTCATTTCTGTCGTATTTATGCATGCTCAACACAGCTAGCGGAGTTGGAGAAAAGTTGATCTTGGACTTAGAAATGGTATTTTGGCACGGTCTAGTGAATATTATCCTCCCTGTTCGCAGATATATATAGCCGGGATGGTGACTGTGGCACAGGCTTGAACGACTTGATTAAGAGCTTCAGATTTTTAAACACGCAGCAGGACCGTCGAAATGAGATATAAAGAGAACATCAACTGATCTCTTCTTGCAGAGCTGGAACCGATTTTTACCGCGAAAAATAAAAACTGATCAACCTTTGGTGAACGAGTCTTTGCATAGGCACGTCAACCGTTAGATGATCCAAACGGCATTAAAACCCAAGAGGACCAGAAGATGCTAGATATGGGCCACCTTTCTGAAATTACATTCACATGTCCTTGATGCCATGCACGTTCCTCCAACATCAAAGAAGAAAAGGAATTGCTTTCCATTTCAATAACCTATCTGGAGTACAAGTCAGAGCAAATCTTATTTCCAGACTTTTCTCACCATCTTAGTACAAATTTGGCTTGATCCTGGACAAGACCAGCTTTTCTAACAGCTCACAGGAGTAACCCCAAAAACGAAAGAAAAGGGAAAACTTCAATGCCGAGGACAATTATGCTACAAACATCTCCTCCTGGCTGCAGAAGCAAAATAAGGCTTTAGGATTGATGGGGAGCATCTTTCTGATCTGGCTTAGAGCTCACGGCAGCAGTTGCAGCAGCCGTCACTGCAGCTGCGGCCGCCCCCAACTTGACACCACCTGCTGCCTTCATAACGCCACCTATTTTTGCAAATGCGGCTATCCCCCCAACAAGGATAGCCCTCAATGCAACTGTGGGTTTAACTGCCATATCTTGGTGCACCTGTCATTTCCAACGTATTGCAAACAGGCATGAAGTACAATTACGAGTTAAAGAACAATTGCAATTCAGACAAAGGAGCAATTGTATGACAACAATGGTAAAAGAACAATTGCAATTTCAAAAGATAACGAGTCTATGATAAATACAGTAAGTAGAATAATTACATATCCAAAATCTGAGAAGAGAACAAGTCTATGATAACGGTAGTACACTTGCAAGAATCAATAAGCAATTAACTCCTACATTCGAAGCTTAAAAGCTGCTGGACCTGGAATACTCATAACTTAAGATCCTTAAGCAAATTTTCTGTGTCTTCAATCCTAAACATCCTTATTTAATCAATTTTGAAATCAAATGATCCAATTATAAAATCGGTTCTCTTAAACTCTAAGCGGCACTCCCTACGAACCTCAGTCTATTATTTTAACCACTTTGCCAACCTAAGAGTCGATGTCAGTGTTCTTGTGTCACTGTGCAAAACCAAATCAATCATCGTGAGTTTGTTAAAATGCAAATCACTGCCCTATATAATACAAGACACCTTAAAATACCAAGCCCACGATGCACAGAAGACTATAAATCCCTCGTAATTTTGGATACCAACTGCGTTATGACTGCTTGTCAATAGGCAAAAACAAGCACTTTGCTCTTGTCCTTCTTTATTTCTTTCTAGAGCAGGCAACCTGACCGTCAGCACCTCCTACTCCGCTAATCCCAGGGTTACTCTCCATTTCATTTGCATTGTTAGGTATAGAGGAGCTTCGATTAAGTTCTGAGCAATACAGAATAGCTAGTGCTGTATAAAACGCCAACAATGTAATGAAGTAGAGATCACGTGAAAGAAGAAGGGGCAATGCTAGTAAGTTTGGATGCCGGCTTGAGGTGAAGAGCACTACGCATAGCTTATGATGTCAAGAGGAGGGATTAAGGGCAGGTATTATTCCATTTCAAGTTCCCTGTAGCATGTGCTGAAATTGAAATGGTTGAACTAGAAGAGGATCTATAGTGCATCAGTTTGTGGTAGCGATTACCCTACTGCTGTCATAGGATACGTAAAGAGGTTTTTTAGAAGGATCTAGATGGATTGCCGGGAGAGCAGATGGAAGATGTGGTCAGCCAGTATTCAAAAGAGAGTGGTCCAAGGATCTTTAAAGGCGTGAGACAAAGAAAATCATGATGCAGCAAAAACGCAGATGCCTCCTAAAACTTTGCTTGGGGAACTTACTTGCAACATGACAGGTGAATAAGAATCGATTATGCCAAGTGAGGGCACTACTTTTTTACGAGTATCCCGACCCTTAAAATCTTTTGATAGCAGGACAATGAAAAACTGCAGTAACTCAGCATTTTAAGATTGAGGCAACTTGATTCACTAATACATAGCTACACAACAAATTCCAGGAAGTCTCTCCAACCCGCTACTTTGAAGGTAATCTCGAATTAGTATTCAGCCGAGAACGTCTAAAGGTGGAAGCGAAGGAACGACGGCATGAAAACTTTCTTCATCCAATGAACGCGGAACGAAGAGCACAACTATGAACCTTCCCAGATATCTAATAACCAGAATCATCTAAGGCAACCCGAGATAACGGCTATTAGGATTTCCATTGCCCGAACCTCCCTGTAAAATAACAAACTGAAAAGATTGTCTTTTTCCATATATTTTTCCAAAGTAGCCTCACCCCCACTTACCAGATAGAAAACAAAAGAGTACCGGGGTTCCTCAAGTCGACATAATTTCATTTCACAATATCAACTAATTCCCTCTTCAAATGCAGTACCAATCACCCCCTTTTCCCTCAACAAAGCTCGCGGTGTCGCTTCTTTCCTCATCTCCTAACCCTAAATCCACAGCCCAAGACATACGCAATAACAATAACCCAACAAAAGCAAGACCAATCCACGCACGCCGTCTCGTGAATTCGAATAAACATGCAGACTCTAATCTCCAGACCGAACCATTTCACCTCTAATCAACTAAAACACACGGAAAACGTAGTCATCGATTCCGCGAACCGATCATCATCATCGCCGAATCGAAGAATTCAGCTGGGCCAACGCACTACGCAAGGAGCAATCCCAGCTAAAATGGAGTGATTCGGTGGGCGAACAAATCGCATACGACACAATCTCGAAGAAGAAGCGAAGCATTTGAGTAGAAAACAACCGCAGCAAACGAGAGGGAGAGAGAGAGAGAGAGAGAGGGGGAGGCAAGATCAAACCTGAGAGATCAAACGAGTCGATACGAACGAATTCGACGCGGAGGGAAAGGAGGAGGCCTTGCTTCTTGTGGTGTTTTTCTTTATCATTAAATTTTTTGCTTACATAAATTTTTTTTTTTTTTGGGTGTTCGTACGTAGGTATGTGATTCTCGGCATATGGTACTCCCAAAACGTGGAAATTCCTCGAAATTGCTCATCGGTCGGATGCAGTGATCTCTCCCGTTTCACCAAAATACTCTCCCTTTTTTTTATTTTCGATATAACAATAGCTTAGGAACATATCCCAAAGGGGTTAGCGAGACCGGCTCCATCGACTCGAGAGATAAAAATGAAGTGTATATAGACACCGAAAGCATAGTCGATTATTGAGGTACATTTTATTAGAGATGCTCTATGATTAGAATATAATCCAATCCGATATCGAATGTTGTAGCTAAAAGAAGTCGCCTTTAATCCTTGTGAACAATGGACCCTGTTGAAAGCGAAGGAGTAAAACTACTCCCAAAGCTCACAAATTTTAGACTGTAGTGGCAAGTAATGTTAGCTTGAACGTGTTGGTTTGCCCTATTCAGGATCGAGGAGAGCAAGACGGGAGCATTGGCCGGGCCGGGCCGGGCCAGAGTCAAACCCAATTGGCCCATCAGGCCCCACTCCAACCGTTTGAGTTGGTTCACCGAGTTGATAAAACAAACAAGGAAAGTAAGGTAAGAACATCATGCATGGGAAGGATTTAAACGCAGAGTGTCGGTGAATCGCCTTTCAATAACTCGGTTACAATTTCTTACCATATGCAGCATAGGGTCCACTTTATAATCCGATTCCGATTTCATATAAAGAGATAAACCCACGAGCCACACGATTCAAAAAATATCAACATCATCACCCACTCGTGCGAAGCAAAATCGACCAACAGAATGCTCGGCACGCGACGAATGCATCCCCTCCACGGCGATTTGCCCTAATTCCCAACAAGTGGGTCGTTCCGATCATCGGTTACACTTCTTACTTTTAACTAAGTATGAAAAAAGGAGGAAATCGGGAAAAGAAAAAACAGAAAAGCGGTTACAGAAGACAATGACCAACACCAACTCCACCCAATTTTAGGATTTTTACGTATTCAATTCCAAAATCTGATTATCCAAGAATGTCGTGTGCCAACACCTCTTCAATCCTCACCCCAACCTTGACAGATTCATCTTCCTTAATCTCCCCAAAAATAGCCTCTCCCCATCTCCTAACTAACACCTCTCTCTCTCTCTCTCTCTCTGTTTCTGTTGCTCCTTGTCTCTGTCTCTCCTCCCATATATCTCTCTCAATCTCCCGTTCTTCCACGCGAATCCTCGTTTTCCTCGCACCAGGAAGCAGAAGAGCCGCCCAACGCAACGTTCGTGTGACAACAGCAGCAAAAGAAATAACTGCTCATGCATTCCCGCCGGAGACGCGCCCGATCTCTCTCCCACCCTACATTAACACCACCTCCTCCTCCTCCTCCTCCTACCATGAACTTCTCCTCCCCGCGGCCCACCTCAGCATTGACCGCATCCACCTCCACCATAACCGCCGCCACCACCACCACCTCGTCGTCCTCCTCCTCCGCCAAGAACGGCTCCACCACCCCGGCCTGCGCCGCGTGCAAGTACCAGCGCCGGAAGTGCGAGCCCAACTGCCTCCTCGCCCCTTACTTCCCCTACGACCGCCAGCACCAGTTCCTCAACGCCCACAAGCTCTTCGGCGTCAGCAACATCACCAAGGTCATCAAGAACCTCGCCCCGCACGAGAAGGACGAGGCCATGCGCACCATCATCTACCAGTCCGACGCCCGCGCCCACGACCCCGTCCTCGGGTGCTACCGCATCATCCGTGACCTCCACCGACAGATCGAGTTCTGCCAGGCCGAGCTCGAGTTCGTCCTCCGCCAGCTCGAGCTCTGCCGTGCCCAGGCACAGGCACAGGCACAGGCACAGGCACAGGCCCAGGCCCAGCAGGAGGCCGCCATGCAGCAGATGATCGACCCCGCGGCAGTGACGGTTGGCTGCGACATCGTGAGCCGGGGGGATCTGCTGGGGCAAGGGTACGGCTATGTTCAGCAGAACGGCGGCCATCCGGGCCAGCAGGTGGAAGGTTATATCGGTAATGGCCAGGAGGGGAATGATCAGGCGTCGTTGCATGATTTCGGCGCATGGGCCATGCAGGACTCCACGTTCACGTCGGACTTTCAGATCAAGCAAGGGTTTGAGGGTGGATGTGAAGATATGAGGCCCATTCTGGACATTGCAGACGACAGGAATGATGGGCTCAATTTGGAAAGCGAAATCATCGACGAAAGAAGGTAGGTATCTTTCAAATTGTTCGTCGTGCGTCTTGATAAGTTATCTGTTCAGTACACCGATAAATTTTTTGATCTGCTAATTCAATGGAATTGGCATTTGTATGTACATAAATGTCGCAAGCAATGTTGGCTCGACGAATTCCAATAGATCACACATTACATCAAATCCATAGAGTAAAGCATTTGATGATACGAGAGAAGTACTCACACGTCTTTCTGCAAATGACTCTGTTAGCACAGGATGAACATAAAAAATGACCATATACCTGAATAAAATCTATGAGCAAACAGAGCACAAAATAATTACGAAAACCATCATAGTCTTGTCATAAAGATGAGAGTAGATTACTTTGTTTCGTCGTGAAAAGTATGTTGTTATCCGTTGATATTTCCATATGCCCGGAGGAGGAAAGTGGGCATGTATGATCGTTCGTCGAGAAAGACAACGAAAGAAAGAACGTAATTAAGTTACTCCATGAGCACGTAGTCACGGTGATGACTTCGTTAATACTGTTAGCACTGTCTAGACTTGGATGCATTGATAGATCTTTAGATTCCTTCCGCATGAAATTGTGACAATTAACCTAAACTTACTACCTTTAGTTTGATTCTGACAGTATATTCTGCATGAAATATTGCAGTGATCATCAAGTCATCTTGGAAGATCACAAGACGGAGATAACAGAAGAAGAAGATGACACCGGCCAACAGGTCCTCGATCATGATCTGAAAGGCGCGGCTACTTTATTTACCCTCACAAATTGTACAAGCTAGACTTTAACTATGAATATGACCTACCCATGTTCATCCCAAGCAAAGTGTATTAGCGATTTCCTGTCGTTACACTTTTGGTTAAGTGAAACAGAGAAGAACATCTTTCTTTTCCATCTTCAACTGTCAAAGGGCGAAAAGAAAGCATTTTTGTTAGTGTCTTAATGTCGAAACGTCTGACAGAAAATGGAATTACGAAAGATGCGCGAGTACGAATACATGCAGTAAAACTCTCATGCAATGGCTGAACTGATTCACAGGACATACAGCAAAATCATATGTAATTGATGATTGCTCCCATCCATGTATCGAGGAAACCTAGATGACAACCCCACAGGCTCTTTAGATGTATGCAGCGTGCATGATCCACGAGAGTTTCAAAGGGAGAACAGCAACAAATTGGAACAAACTGCTGAGCACGTAGGATCGGAGATGAAGACAAACACACTTGCCAAAATATGAGGCAGAAATATGGCTGAAACTTTCAATAAGATTTGAAGGGTCAATAACAGTGACATCACAAGTGACCAAAACAGTATGCACAGTTAGCTCGGTACAGAGAAACCTTTTCCACAAACCAACGCTGCTAGTCATGAGAAGCATCTAAACGATGACTAGAATTCTGAGTTTAGTTATCGAAACCTTTCTTGTCATCTTCCAGCTAAATCTGTCAAGACTCCAGGGAATTTCCAATAATTTACTGGCCATATGGGTGGAAACATTAGCAATTCTATGAACAGAGACTAATTAAGCATCCTCAGCTTTGTACCACTACTCTTCTTTATTATATCGCGGCTGTAAGGTTTTCAGTTTCCATTTAAAGTGTCAATTCTTCAAGAACACCATAAATATCCTCCATACACAACTGCAAGGCGCTCTCTGACGAAAACATATAGACCTTTTTACCCAAGTCAACCGAACTCTGGCCTGGGACTTCCTTTGAACTCTTCTTCCTTGGCAGAAATCCGCACTCTCGCAGAATTATCCCACTGGCCATTTGCAGCACAAATGTTAAAGAGAAGCATGTAGCTTCCCGTAGTTTCCCTAATTATGACTGAAAACCTGTATGGCTATTGCCTCCACAAAATCTGTGTCTCTATACATCCTATCAGCAATAAGAAGAGCTCCCCAAACACAAGCATTAGGTGTCATGGGTTTTGCTATCTCTCTCTAGCCCTGCGAGGAACCAGATCAGCTCAACAGATCAACTACACATGCATAGTGTTCCATCTGCGGATCAATTCCAAACTATTTAGTCATTAGATCATAAAGTTTACGGCCCTCGGCAACAAGCCCTGTATGACTACAAGCAGAAAGAACAGCAACAAGAGTGACCTCAACTGGCTTAAATCCAGTTTCAGCCATTCCATAAAAATATCTCCCTGCATCTATTCCTAAACTGCGCATTCCACACCCAGTCATCAATGGGTTCTAAGAGACTAAGTCCTTGACATCAAGTTTCTTGCACACCAGGCTCCCCTCATTAAGGCTTCCACATCTCATGTACATTGTGATCAAGCTGCTTGCCACGAGGAGGTTATGATTCATCAAAGCCCGAACCACATGGCTGTGGACTTTCTGACCAAGGTTGAGTGCCGCCAACTCTGCACAAACTGACTGACGAGGCACTAGAGATGGTTTCAGCATTCCCCGTGATGTTGGCAAGCTGCATTTGTTTGTAGAGTTCCAAAGACAAGCTCCCTCTCCCCGCAGAAGCAAATGCATCGATGATGGCGCTCCAACTAATCACGTTAGGCCTCAACAATGAACAACTATCTGATTTCTTGAGCTTGGAGAATGATTCAAAAGCCTCGTTGCTTAATCCAGACTCTGCATTCAATGTAATCAGAGCATTCCAACTAACTATGTTCTTGGATTCCATTTCTAAGAACAATTGGCTAGCATCTTTCAATTGTCTTTGCTTCCCATGCCCACATACTAATGAATTCTTCACAATCAAATAAGCTTCAAAACCAACTTTTATAACAAGTCCATGAATTGCTTTACCCATGTGGAATGCAATCGCATTAGAGCGAACAGATAAAACCACAGCTAGTACTTCAGCACCGGGACTATTTCTTCTCATTCTCATCGAACCAAATAACTCCACAGTTTCGACACGGTGGCCGCTTTGGGCATGACTCGACAACAACAATCCGCATGTGACCACATTTGGCTCCATCAGCCTCCACGAGCAGAGACATCTCAAGAGCACCATCACCTTCGAAATACAGCACAATGCCCCGAGATCATCATGTTCCATGAAATACAGCTCCTGGCACCCATTCTATCAAACAGCTGAAGCGCGATCCCTATTTGCCCAAACTTCGCATACATATACCCATCAATCCATTCAGCACATGCAGATTATGGTGCAAGCCCATTTGCAAAGCGTGACAATGAACACCCCTGCACCAGATTGAGCTACCCATTTCGGACCAACCTCTCATCACCAAAGGAAAAGTGAACCCATCACCCAATACCCTTGAGCTTTCTCGTCTCAACAAAAGATTCGGATGCAAATAGATCACAGTGGGCATAATTTAAAGATTTTTTATAGCTTTTTCCTAGTAAAATATGTAAAACGAATATAGCACTAATGATAAATTAAGGTAAAAAGAAAATGAAAGTAAAAGTCCATTACACAAGCAAGCGTGGATATGGAGAAGAACGTTCTCATATATTTATAAGTACGGATATTACGGATAGTGCGTACTGGCGTTGTGATCTCCCTCCCGTCCCCAGAAGAATCGCCGCCCCACCGTCGCTGACAGCGACTTCCACCATCAAGTCTCTCTCTCTCTCTCTCTCTCTCTCTCTCTCTCTCTGTCGATTAGCACTTGAATAATGATAACGCCAACGTCAGGAGACACAAAACTACGAGAAACCTCCACCCACGTCAAATTCCCCCACTTACGCAAAAGACTTCGCAGTCCCATCTCAAACGGGGGAGGGTTCACCCGGTGAAGAACGACGTCACTCTGCTCTGACTCTGATCAATCCAATCCACCCCCACAAGAAAACGACACGATGGAAATACTGGGTCAGGCTCCGTCTGATCTACTGGTTTATACTATTCTCGGAATCCCATAAAAAAAAAAACAAGCATTTACAAGCACGCCCGCGCACGCAGAACCTACAAAAAGAACCCACCAGGTTCCCCTGAATTCTCCATCTGGGCGACGGGGAAAGAACAATGCTTGCAGCTTCAGTCCACCCACCCGATGCATCTCCGGGTACGCGGACTTCGCCCTCGACCCTCCGTTTCCTTGCGCTTCTTGATGCTTTGATGGCCGGAATCTTGAATTTTTGGTTTTTGTGTGGGTGATTCTCTGTTTTCTGGCGAACCCCCTTTTCAGATGCGGAGGCTCACGAGCACTTGCTCGTCGTGGACGTGGACGACAACGCCAAGGACGTCCGGGCCAAGTTCGAGATCCGGGGCCTGACCAAGATTTCCGATGCTGGGGCCCCCATCCTGACCGGGGTCAACCTGGAGATCCCGCGAGGGAAGATCGTGGGCATCATCGGGCCGAGCGGGAGCGGCAAGTCCACGCTCTTGAGGGCCCTGAACCGGCTGTGGGAGCCGCCGTCCGGCACCGTGTTCTTGGATGGCGAGGACATTAGGGGTCTCGACGTGCTCAGCCTTCGGCGCAAGGTCGGGATGCTGTTTCAGCTTCCCGCGATGTTTGAAGGTATGATTTCTGGACATTCCGGTGCCGGTCTATTTGTGATTACTGATTAGTGATGGCAATGAATGTTAGTCAAGAAAAGAGTGAGAAAGTTGAAGTTTTTTGTTTTCTCCGCCTTGGCAGTGTTGCGATTGATTCAGAATTTCAAACCTGATTGGTGCGGGAGGTTTCTCGATTCATTCATGTCATTCGGAAGTTTGATTATCATTCGTTCAATATGTTGAGATTGATTGATAAAATTGGTTTGCAAAGTGACATGGTAGTTTGACTTCCTTCCGGAAATCATCAAGTCATTTCCCGGCCTGCATTTGAAGTGATCATCGTTGAATCAAGGGATAAAAAAGGGCCACAATTGTATTACTCGAGGCGACTGTTGTTATTTGTATTATGTGTTCTTGGTGTTGTTACTGGAAGAAAATTGAATAGTTGTTCCACGAGTTTGATTCAGGGTTGTTACTGAGAACTATGATCTAACCAGGCTGAATAGAATTTACTTTTGATGTAACTTTCTCCATTGTATGGTAATCTCTGCCTATAAGAATTCACAATCACTGTCATGGTGACGGTAGATTAATAGAGTTTACTTTTGATGTAACTTTCTCCATTGAATAGTAATCTCTGCTTATAAGAATTCACAATTCGAACCAAATAGACTAATTTGGCTTTGGCTGTTATGGCGACGGTAGATTAATGTCAAAAGTATTCACCCTGTCCTTTCGTTTTTGCCCTTTTGGATAAGTTTCATGATTTCGTGAGGTGCCAAAATAATCTTGAAAAAGTAAATGGGGTGCCAAATTATCACGACCTAGCCTTCCCTGTTATATGGTCATGTGTTAAATCCACCTTACACAATTATTGGAAATATTGTTCTGCCACTGAACTTGGTCCTGCCAGATCAGGTCGGAGTCAATCAAATCGCACAATTACGGTCTATGTGCAAGAAATACGGTGCTTGTGTCCATGGTCTTTACCTTCATATGACTTCTAGGATTCGCAGCTCTGGTTCAACTTGCTATTTTTTCTGGTTTTAAACTACATGCGGAAAAGAACACAGAAGTCCTCTATATGATTCAGAGGCATATTGACTCTATCTAGTGCTCGTAATTTTATGCAGAGGTGGTATTTCCTCAACTACAGAAAGTTCTTAATTCAATATCTCTGGAGCAGAAGCTATATGTCTTTGGTGGTCATTTTTTGCCATGTTTCATTCAGTACCGAAGTCTTATCTATCATATCCCAAGTTAGCAATATGAATTAGAATTCTTATGGGTTACATTAGGGCTCACACTAAATATATTTATGACGATGATTGACTTGAGACCTTCTATGCACCTAAACTTTACCAGCTTGAACGGTAAATGGTCTTTATCCTTTTGGTGTTAAAGGGGTTCTCATTTTTTGGAAGAATAAAGCTAGACAAGGAAGAAATACCAGATGAATGGATCTAGTGGATTACATCAAGACCAATTGTAGATGAACAATTTCCTTGATGTGATTCTTCTAGATTCGTGTTTTTATGCCATGCCACAGTCTTAATGTTCTCGAAAGCTTACATCAAGCCGCAAACTTGCAGGCACAGTTGCGGATAACGTCAGATATGGACCACAACTGAGGGGGCAGAAGCTAAGCGACGGTGAAGTCTACAAGTTGCTGAACCTTGCCGACCTCGATTCCTCTCTCTTCAGCAGAGGCGGCTCAGAACTATCTGTCGGCCAGGCCCAGAGAGTGGCACTCGCAAGGACACTAGCTAACGAACCAGAGGTGAGCCAGCATTTCCCATTTTGTTCATTGAAAGATCACACTTCACAGTCAATACCTAAAGGTGCTTTCTTCTCAAAAAAGGTTCTTCTGCTGGATGAACCGACGAGCGCGTTGGACCCAATTTCGACCCAAAACATCGAGGACGTGATAGTGAAGCTGAAGAAGACTCAAGGATTGACGACCATAATGGTTTCGCACAGCATCAAGCAAATTCAGAGGATTGCTGACATAGTTTGCCTCCTGGTGAGCGGTGAGCTGGTTGAAGTTTTGACTCCCGATCGACTCTCAGAAGCCAAGCATCCCATGGCACAGAGATTCCTGCAACTCAGCAACTGATGCTTTCCCGTTTCCACATACCGCATGCTGAACGAAATAATCGTATGCAGATTTAGCACTGTACTGTTATATAGACCTCGGCTTCTGTGATTGGATATTTATAGACTCGAAACAGTGTTTGATGAAATTTGGTGGTGTGATCAAGTCTGCCGAATGCTCCGTCCTTGTTCTCTTTTAATGTTGTAACAGTTGAATGAAATGAGGAACGTGTAAAGGTCCCATTGTCATCTGCTCGTTTGAATTTCACCTATACAAGTGTACATTTGCGGCCATTTTCGCAGATGTGTCTCGCCCTCCCGGTTCAGGGAGCCACTGATGTTCATTTTGCCAGACAGTCCTCATGAGCACACACTACACAGTGGAAGTGCATCCTGATCTGATGTGGTATGCAAATTCACAATGGTCGATGGGCCACGAACTTGGGCTCGGACACCTCCGGCCCGCCTGGACTTGCAGCTCGGCGGCCGGCAACAAACGCCGGGAAACGATGTCGGCTTATTCTTAAACGTCCATCGAAATACATGCAAAATGTAATTACGACTTGTTTGGAAACAGCTTTTTCTCGATATCATATCTTCCTTGAGAAAACACAGGATCCTCAATAATTCGAAGTCCAGCATTACCACAAATATAACTAGCATCATTCTTCAAAGAAATGCAAGGTCTTTAAGTTAAAAGTGTGCTTCCGAAATGCAAATAGACGTTCGGTAAAGTAAGGCTCAAAGTCGTCCAACCTCAGGCAACCCCAAGGCCGCGCAACCTCAAGCAAGGCTCACCAGTGGCAACCGTGGCATCATGCAAGGGTAAAAGTGAAATTTCAAAAATTTGGCGAGGGTAAAGTAGCATTCCGAAAATGCTCAAAATCCATGGACTCGCATCACACCAAGTGGCGTTTGGAAGAATTTGGAAATGCAACCTCAAAGCAATTGACCAAAACCTTTAGAGCCTCGTAGCCAATTTCAAGCCGATCCGAACCGCACCAAACCAAACCATCCGAACCGCACCAAACCAAACCAAACGCACCATGGATAAGGCATGCCCGAGCATTTTGGTTCCATTTCTTTTTGCGGCATTAAACGGTACGGCGAGAAAAGAAGAACCTAAACGAAACGAGTCGCCCACCGACACAGGCTTGAAGCCGTCACCACACAAAATATTTCATCAACGCGTTGTCGTTCGGTCCAGCGGCTGAAATCGAAGGCCGCACGTTCGAAAGTGACGATCCTCATCCATTCGGACATCCCATCCAGCTCGTTGCCTTCCTCTCACGCCGCGTATACGACAATCATTGGACCGCTTCCAAAAAATCATCGTCCCAATTTTTTAAAAGATTTTTTTCCAAAACATCCAATATAAAGGAAAATAAAAAAAAAAAGAGCATCTAGAAATAAATTCGGATTCGATGATTTTATTAAATTTTTTTTGGAATATATGCTAAAATCCAGTTTTTATTAATTGTAATATTGGGCAAGTGAACGATATAGTCCGAGAGCAAGACAAGAACAAATGCAATTGAGGACAATCAATCTTTCAATCATACAGCTGTTTTATCCACCACAACAAGGACTAAACTCCAAAACAAAAAAACCCCCCAAAAAAAAAGCAAAATATATATATAAAAAAAAGACAAAAATTCTATTTAGTGCCCATTTTTCTTTCTCCTAATACGATCAATCCGACAATCCCCACGTCACCACCCAAAAAAATACACACAAAAAAAATGAAAAATGAACGGTATTTTTTTGCACAATTTTTTTTCATATCCCGAGAAAAAAACGTGGCAACAGTAAATTTTCGCCACTTTCCTTACAGCGTCCAGTTCCAGATCCTGATCCTCGTGTCCACCTTGCACTTTACGCTCGCCGTCGACACCGCCGCCGCCGCCTTCCCGGCCGCCGGAGCGGTAGCCCTGATGCCGCCGCAGGTGACTCGGATTCCCACCCTCGGCGTCTTCAGGCCTCCGATCTTCACCCTCACCTTCGTGTCCAGCCTGATCTTCAGGGCCAGCCCGCTCTTGCTCTTCAGGCCCGACTTCAGCGCGCTCGCGTCACCGCTGTCCACTTGCCGGCCGTTGCTGGCGATCGACGCCTTCAGCAGCGTCGTGTTCTTCTTCCCGTGCACGAAGGACGGGATCGTCGCGTCGCCCAGGTCGACGCCGCCGCCGTCGGCGCTGAGGACGGAGACCGATATCGGGCTGTAGACGAACACGAGCTTGCTGTTGGGGTTCCGAGCCGAGACGGCGAGGTCGAACTTGGAGCTGAGGGTGGAGGAGGACGAGATGTTGATGTAGGAGACCCTGAGGGAGGTGACGGCGAAAGCCGGGCGGTGCGGGCGGTAGAGGACGTAGAAGACGGCGGCGGCGACGGCGGCGAGGAGGAGGACGACGAGGAGGGCGACGGTGGTCCAGAGGCAGCACCGGCAGCAGCAGCCGCGGCGGTGTCGGCGGCTGCTCTTCATGGGCTGGGGGTTGTAGGCGGAGCGGGCGGCGCCGCCGTAGAGCTGGCCCTTGGTGGCCGGGAACGAGCCGTTGGCCGTGGCGGCCCCGCCGTTGGCGGCGGCGGGCTTGGCGGAGGAGAAGACTCTGTCGTTCATGGCGTTTGTCAGAGAGAGAGAGAGAGGATGACGATGAGGAATGAATGTGAATTGCGAAGGAGAGAAGAAGAGAAGAGAGGGAGTAGTGATAGAGAGAGAGAGAGAGAGAGAGAGAGAGAGGGAGATAGCTGTAACCACTAACCAGTGAGTGGGCGGGGGGGAATTATACTTCACTCGAGCAGGAGAGCGCGTGGTTGACGCGTTGACGTTTTTCGTTCTGTGAATTCCCTGCAATTTTCAGAAATTTCTTTCGTTAATTTTCAGGGATATTTGATATATATATATATGGAAAAAATTAAAGGGCACGGCTCGTTTTCACTTTTTGTTTCGACCGCCGACAAATTTTTAATTTCTCACATGACAATATTTTCTAATAATCATATAGACGCACACGAAAGATGGTATGAAAGACTGCAAGCAAAGAATAGATTGGTGGGTTTGCTGTGAATGTCATCCACGTGCAAAATTTAGCTAAATCTAGAAGCGGGTGAGATCTGTATTTGTAGCTCGGTCCATCGGGCGCACGAAGGAGACGGAGGAAAGCATGCATGACCCATGTGATCAAAGAAACAAGGCGCGGATCGAGTTACTAAAGAAAGAGAAGGAGAAATCTCTCCAGGCTAATCGCGAAATTAACGAAGCGAAGCTACCGCATGTGTCCACCAAATCAATGTACTAGAAGAAGTGGGGGGGCGCAGTTCATGCTCGGGAGCGAGAAGGAAAGAGAGTCGAATTACCAAAATCAGAAGAAGAGAAGTCTCTCGCTCGATGATGACTGAAATCCCAATTGGCTCGACTCAAGACGCCAAGAGATCGAGGACCATAAGCAACTCCATATATAAAGCAGAAAAAAAGGGCAAAAGGGCACTCGATCGATCGAGTGCATCGAGAACAGATTTGGTTTGGCCTCCAAGTTTAAAATGAGAAGAAAACCCAACCCTTTTTGACAGCTTTGATTGCGGTCAAAGTCAAAGGGTCCTTTGTGCCCCCCCATTCTGGCACATGAGCATTCAATTCTCATTCAATTCAGCGTCCCGTGTTCCTAACTGGAGTTGTTGGTACTCGACCCGTTTCGCCCAGAAACTTTTACTTTGGCATATTAAAATGTGGTACCCATCGAGTTACTAAGGCTGCGAATGATAACCATTCTGTTTCTCTATTTCTGTTCCAGAAATAGGTTTGGAAACAATCCGTTTAACGCAATTTTAATTTCTATTTCCGGAACAAATTTTTGTTCCAGAAATGATTTGAAAGAGAAATCGAAAGTTAAAATTTTTAGCTTCTCTATTTCAAATGCGAAAATGAGAAACAAAATTTTTTTGTTCTTCTCATCACTTTCCCTCACTACTAGTCGGTCGCTCACCCGCCGCCCATCGCCGGCCGCCGCCACCCGCCGACAGCCGCTACCCTTCACTGGCCGCCGCCGCCGGCCACCGTCTCCTGCCACCGGCTGCCTCCCACCACCGCCGGCTGCCGACCACCGGCCACCTCCCGCCACCATCGGCCACCTCCCATCCACCATCGGCCGCCTCCCGCCGGCCAAAAAAAAATTCCAAAAAATCCTTAAAAATTGAAAAATTCCAGAAAAATTCATAAAAATTTCTAGAAAATAAAAAAAAAGTCAGATTTCGGGAAAATAGGAAATTTGTTTATTTTTTCCAAAAAAAATAAAAAAATTTCAAAACTTCACAGAATGGCTTAGAATACTTGTGGCCACTCACTTTGAATGAAATTTAAATTTTTTGAAGTGCCCAAAAAAAATAAAAATAAAATCAAAAATTTCAAAACTTTACATAATGGCTTAGAATATATGTGGCCACCCACTTTGTGTGAAATTTAAATTTTTTGAGGTGCCCAAAAATATCCAAAAATCAAAAATTTCAAAACTCCACAGAATGACTTAGAATATCTGTGGCCACCCACTTTGCGTAAAATTTAAATATTTTGAGATGCCCAAAAAAATTTAAAAATAAAAAATTTCAAAACTTCACAGAATGGCTTAGAATACCTGTGGCCACCCACTTTGCGTAAAATTTAAATTTTTTGAGGTGCCCAAAAAAAAACCAAAAAATTTAAAACTTCACAAAATGACTTAGAATACTTGTGGCCACCCATTTTAAGTGAAATTTAAATTTTTTAGGTGCCAAAAAAATTAAAAAATTAAAAAAAATTTAAATTTCACTCAAAGTGGGTGGCCACAGGTATTCTAAGCCATTCTGTGAAGTTTTGAAATTTTTGATTTTTTTTGGAAAAAATGAACAAATTTCCTATTTTCTCGAAATCTGACTTTTTTTTATTTTCTGGAAAATTTTATGGATTTTCTGAATTTTTTTAGATTTTTAGGAATTTTCCGATTTTCTAATTTTTTATTCTATTTCTAAAAGAAATGAAGCGATTGTCCGCGCCCGCCGTCCACTCGCCGCCACATGAGAAGGAGAAATTTTTGTCTTATCAAACAAATTTACATTTCGAAATAGAAATTTTGTGTCGTTATCAAACATGTTTTTTAGCTTAGAAACTCCTCCAGAAACAGAAATAGAAAAATCAATTTCTGGCCAGAAATTGATTTCTGAAACAGAATGGTTATCATTCGCAGCTAATATTTTGGTTCTCCTGAGCATATGGCTGAAACCATTGAGTGGTCAATTTGTAATGGTCTATAAAATAAGCTGAATCCACTCAGGAATTCGTCATTCACACTTCATACCTAATGAAAAAGAGGCCTCGTGTATGGTGAAGAAGGCTTATCGAAAAAGTGGCCAACCATTTAGGTGGTTGGACCCATCAAAATGGGTCGTTTTTTAATCCGGATGAGATGAATTGAGTTGCTAAATATGTTAATTGTATTCGGTAAATGGATTTAGAACGTTAAAGGTTAACATAATATATGTGTTAAATGGGTTCTGTGACCCAACCCACCTCTGTGGACTCGCTCTTCATTATCCCTCATCCTCGCTTGCTTTCGTGCTCGCTCACTCGCTCTGTACGCTTACTTCAGTTTGGGTACGAGTTTTCATAAATTAAATTAAAATTAGAAGTGTTTTGATAAAACGAGTCGAATCAATATTAGATTTTACATTACATGAGAATAGATTAAAACGGATTTAAGTGCATCCTTTTAGATAGAACCATTTTCGATCCGACCCAATTAATTTCACGAGCGAAGGGAATGCTTAACGCAACGAAGGTTGCAACTGGGGAATGCAGATAAGGGCAAAAGGGCGCACACGTCGCCCGTTCACCTAACTTGCGGGACCCTCAAAACTCTCTCTCTCTCTCGCTCTCTCTCTCTATCTCTACAACACGCCAGCTGGTGACAATAAAACACGTGTGAAAGCGACGATCTGACCCCCCATCCATCCATCATCTCATCGTGAAAGTGGGGAAGGAAGGCTCGCGTTGCTTTCCGCCTTTTTGCATGGCCCTGTGGGCGTGGGCATCCCCTCTCCCCTCCCCCCATCACGCGCTCACCGCCGTACACGTGTCCTCCACGTCACCCCCGCCCCCCTTCTCCCACATCGCACGTGTCGGAAATCGTGTCGGTTCCCGCGGCCACACTTTTCATAATCAATATGATGCTGATTCAAAGAAGCGGATGACTCGAGATCAGGTATGGTATGATTTCGAGATCAGGTATGGTATGGTTTCGACGATCATGGCTGTAGATGTCGATGTGCGATAACGATCGATCCTAGAGAATTTGGTCGAGTGTGAAATGAAGTGAAGACGTTGATTGGAAGGTGTAGATTAAGCGAGATGATGTTCAAAGAACGTTAATCGATGAGCACGAGGTTGCTAGCTAAGCTTGTAACTGTTTCGCGGCGATTGTGATCGTTCGAAAGCAAGATCGAGGTGAGATTTTGGAGGAGTAATTAGAGGTGAACGGTTCTAGGTTCCTTATAGGTTCCACCTGAAACCCGGAACGTATCCTTAAGTATAGGTTTTTCATTTTTTAGAACCTGAAACCTACCCGTCGAAACTCAGAATCTGAAATTTACTCTGTCATAGGTTCCAGGGTAAGTTCTAGGGTCTAACAAATTCTTTTTTTTTTATTTCATCTTTAGTTAAAAAAAAAGAGAATACAAAACAAAAATGAACAAGCTTGTCATTCATCAAAGAGAATACAAAAGACTAGTTTTCCTGGTATTACGGTTCAAATAAATACAATTAAAATGAAAAGTCATTGCATGAATCAATATTAGGGATGAGTGGTTCCATCTTCCATACAAGTTTCACCTGGAACCTACCCTTGAGAATAGGTTTCTCATTTTTTGGAATCTAGAACCTACCCTATCACCGGTTCTAGATCGGTTACAAGAATTACCCAGGTTATACATGTATTATTAATTGAATAATTGCAGCGAATCATCACCTTTAATGACCATCACTTGTTACTATGATCTACTAACCACGATTTATATTTAGACACACGAAAAATATGAAACATTAATAAGTCATAAAATGAGAGCTCAGACTAGTGGTTCTAGATTATACATTTATCATTTAACATCATAAAACACTACAGGATCACACGAAGACATAGACTAAAAAAACATAAAAAAAAAACTTGTTTAGATTTCAGGTTTCAGGTTCCACCTACCTAAAATCTGGAACCTACCCGTCGAAATATGTTCTCAAATATTTAGAACTTGGAACCTGAAACCTACAGGTTCTCACAGGTCAGGTTCTCAGGTTCCAGATTCTACTCTGGAACCATGTTCATCTCTAGGAGTAACCGTCTAGGGATAAGATGGCGTGGCAATGTGAAGATGTGGATCCGAAAATCAAGGAGGCACAGTGTGGTTGAAACTACTGAAAAATTGCCACGGGCAATTATGTTGTAAATACCTATATATACTAGTGTTAATGTACTATAGAGCTCCCAAACAAACAACAAGAAACATGTTATCTTTCAATTATATCTCGATTCATATACCTTAACCGCAGTTTCCAGATATTTATGTACCTTAACCCATAGTTTCCCGAACAAACAACAAAAAAACATGTTATCTTTTAGATCTTCCTCGTCAATGAAAATCCCGATATTGTATTTTTATGTCATTGCACTTTGCTATTAGATTCCGACAGAGCCTTTTATGTCATCGCACTTCATCGTTGATCAAATTCCTTTGAAGCATCTATGTTCTTTGTGCTCCATTAATGAAATTCATGTCCATAATTGCCACAAAATCCATCGTCCCTTCACAAAAATCGAAAAATGAATTTCAACAAAAGATATTTCGTTGTCCATCAAATTCCGGCGAAACACGACACCGAACTAAGGCGGGATGCTTCCGTAGCTGGGAGACCAATCGATTAAGGATTGACGTTGGACGTACCCTAAGGACCGCCTCGCACAGTTTTCAATGCCGTGGCATCAGAACATATATTCCCATGAATAGAGTAAAACAGGCCCCATTGACAAGAGAAAAGAAATGACAACCGCATGAATGAACACGGATAATGCAGAGCTGGTGCTGTGTCATATCATTTCATAATTATCAGAAGAAAATGGATTGTTGTATTACTCGGGCCTAATTCCTAAAAAAAAAAAATATCAACTTTATCTTGTGTGACAATTCTGATCCAAATTTTTTTTATCTTATAAAAAATCACCAACTTTCGTTTAATTCTCAAATATAGCCCGAAAAATTTTAAAAATTTTATATTACGGGGCTAGATTTGAGACTCGAGTAAAAAATGTGTGCTTTTTATTGAGACAAAAAAGAGTTCAGACCAGAATTGTCATTCAATATAAAGTTGGTACTTTTTTTTGGAA